TCTTTTTATTGTAAGCATAATGGAAGCTCTTTACATGAGGAAGAAGAGATCATTTAATCCCAAACTATGTTTTTCTGTGTGAGGCAGCTGAGAACATCAGATAAGCAGATGCTATTGAATCCGGTTGTTGTTGTTGTTGTTGATGAGGATGATGTGTAGGAAACCAGCAAAAATAATAACATCATGTGACCAGACTGGGACAAGTGGAGGTGTGCCCTCCTCACCAAGCACTGAATTGCTGTATGGACACCATGTTGTTTTGACAGTGTATTGAAAATGAAATCATTTATCTTTGCTGGTATTGTCATAACACAAGTTTACTCCAGAATTTCTTTTCTTGATCATTTAATTCCAAACTGCTATTAGTCATTTTAGAAAAGAATTTCTTCATTTGAATCATCAGTAACTGAAACTGTTTTTATCATCATGACAGTGGTGCGTATTGGTTTAGATATAAACATTTTGAGACAGTCCCTTATTGTTATAACCTTAGAATTCCATTATTTTAACCATTAGTGATATGATAAACATATTGTATTGAGACATGGAGGATAAATGAATGGATTGACATTTTAATTTATGTGGGAATTATATGCATGCTTTATAGACCTTTCAGCTGGTACATGACCAAATAGCACAATAGATAAGAGGCTAAGGTGATACCTTTACCTAAGAACAACTTCAGCACTTTGGATTTTCTACTTATGGTGTAAATCAAATCTTTTTACCTTGCAGAAGATCTTTTTCTAAGACTCTACTATATATGATCATGATAGGTATGAAGATGATACTCTTACTGATCCTTGGTCTTCTATTTAGGTATTTTACTTCTAAAGTAACTCAAAAGACTGCTGGATTAGAGGCATTATCACAATTTTTATTTTAATATTCCTTTCACAAATATTCTTAAAGTAAGCAAAATCTCAAGTTCAGAGAGAAACTGAGAAACCCAGCTATGAAACATCATATTATCTGCTTATGTTTAGGCTTTTTATTCTGTTATTATAACTTATATCACAACACATTCCTTTTACTTTTACTAATTTATCCTTTTCAGTCAATTCATCAAGGTTTCAGTCATCCTGATATTTAATTTGTGTTTGGAATCCAAGCCAAGCATATCACAGCTGTTGTCCCGCCAGTAAATGGAACCAAGTATTTTCGATCTAACTCCTCCAATCTTGGACAGCACTTTATACTGTATTTTCAGCAGACATAACAATGACACACAGACTTACCATCTATGACATCTCTTGATGTCACTGGAGCTATTGACCTGTCAGTAACTTAGGGCCTTCCCTTTAAACAGATTAGACAAAATGATATCATTTTTACAGTTGTTTTTAAGCTATTTTTATATCCTCGATACTCTACAAATTATTACAATGAAATGATCTGACAAGAAACCAAACAACAACAAAAAAAGACACTGTAAACCAGTGAAGTGAAATTAGAGTTTATGCAGCACCTCAACATTGAGCTGTGGTGCCTATCACTCAAATAGAACTTAACAGTTTGGTGGCCCCAAATGGCAGCAATATCTTAGCCAAGTGTGAAGTTCAGATTATGTAACATGTAGTCAGAACACTGCAGTTGCAAAGTGCACTGCGAAGAAAGTGATGATTCTTACTTCTCACTCGTGAACACTCCAAGATCAGGCGGGCCCAAATCGTGAACACTAAATCTACATTTAATAGATATGACTATGTCGTCTTTATTAAATAAAAAAAACCCTGTTACTGTTCTTTAGTTTTAGTTAAAGTTGTTCCAGAGGCCACATTGTGCTGCACTGTTTGAGATGTTTATAGTGGCTACAAACATAATCTTTACATGGTTTCTATACATGGTTTGTGCATGTCTTTTTTCCCCCATAGACATAATGAGCCAAAAACTGCCGGTGTCACCGCAGGCTATTTATGACCTGAAGAAGCTAGCTGCCTTTTTGCCGCCAGGTGTCATACCAAGAAATAAAGTGGGCTCTGGTCGCCCAAGGAAAACTACAAAGAATGGATGTGATCTTGAAATGTGAAGTGTTGGAAAAATTCATGGATCACAGCTGCTAGATAAAAAAAAGAAAAGCATCTAGAGCTGCTGCAGAGTGTATCTGTATGCACCACAAGGACCTGGGATTTCCCGCTTGGCGCTACCAAGAAGATTCTTCTAACAGTGAAGAAAAAGAAAAACAGATGACTCTCTGGAAATGATATCAACATTGGACATTGGAGGAAGGTGATATTTTCAGATGAAAGCACATTCAAGCTTGTGAGAGTGAGCCTGTGCTTTCTCCCCACAAATGAAACCATGAATGGAAGAAGTTATTTAATGATTTAATGTTGCTGCAACAACATCTGATGCCGTTTTGGCACATTTATCATTGCGGACACTTTATGCATGATGGGGCCCCTGTATACAAGGCAGTTCAGAAGTGGCTGAAATACAACAAAATCCCTCTGCTTCAATACCCAGGTAGCTCACCTGACCTCAACCCCATTGAAGATGCCTGGCATCACATGAAGAGTGAGATGTGCTGCCGTCCAACATCAGAGAGTTGCAAGCTGTGCTGAGGGACTTTTGGGTGAATATGTACAAGGATTATTTGGCAAACTGACAGATTTCAATGCCCGCATGACTGCAGGACATCTTAAAAGCAAAGGGAAACATAACAAGGTACTAATTGTTTGGAAAGTACACCAATAAACCAAATGCAAGTACACAGTATTATTTTTCTTTCTAATGCTGATGTAAAGATTTTTTTTTGTTGTCACTGTATTTATAAAGACCTTCATTACAAAGCATGTCTCAGAGGACTTCAGATTGGATGATAAAATTGAGTCCCCACACCTTCAGGCAGGATACAGTCTCACTTCTGTCCCAGTTAAAGCCCCAGTCATTGTCAGTGTGCCCCATTTTCTCAAGTAGTGCTTGCTGCGGGAAGGCGGGGTTGGATGTCCAGCCCTGTCCACAAGTCCAATCCACTAACTCTAGATAAGTACAGATGATGCATCACAAATACTCTACACAATGCAAAAATAATGCAGGCAGCTGTGGCTCAGGAGGTAGAGCAGGTTGTCTCCTACCTCGAAAATTAGCGGTTCAATTCCCAGCTTGTCCAGACCACATCTCTCAGTGTCTTGGAGCAAGACACTGAACCCCCAGTTACTTCTGGTTATAACACCAGTGTGTGACTGTGCGTGTTTGAGAGTATGAATGGCCAAATAGTGTGAAAGCACTTTGAGTGTGCTGCAATGCATAAAAAAAAGCACTATACAAGTATAAGACCATTTAATGCCAAAATAACATGAATACAGCAGCTGCCATTTTGTAACCAGATTCTGTGCAATAGCGACTAACAGTGACGCATCAAGTTGCCAATCAAAGCTGTCAAATATACAAAAACACCCCTTTTTCTATTGTCAAATAACTTATTAAAAACAAACTTACCAGAGAAATTACCATTTTTACACACAACAGCGTGATAATGCATATATGACAAATCACTTCTGAGAAAAATGTATTTGATTTATACTTTGAGTTTTAGTTTGGCTCATGTTCCATCCACTAACATGGAGGCGGTGAGATTTATGACCTATACTATAACCACCCACCAGGGGGCAATCCATTTCTGGGAGCTGCCAAGCCGTCCATCTTTTATACAGTCAGTGGTTCAGCCCTACCCATATCCACATCCAGCACAGCCCACATCCTTTGCATCACCATGCTTTGTTCAAGAGGGTTCGGCGTAGGGGATATGGGCAGGGCTGGACGTCCGGCCCCTCATTCCAGAGAGAGAAAGAAAGAGAGAAAAACAATGTAAAACTTTAATACAATGTTTTATTTTTATTACAATTTAATTTTTCATTAAATAAAAGTTGCAAAAAAAGTCAGCATATGCTGTCATTTATTAGAAAGTAAGTAAATCAGAATCAGAATCAGCAGGTCAGACCAAAAAAATAAAACAGAATTAGCCTAGAAAATTGCAATCAGTGCATCTCTACCAAAAACTAAAGCAATTTTTATGTAACAAAACATTTGTAGGTTTTGTAGGAAATTGTGTGCAGCCTCTCGAGATGATTATGATGTGATTCACCTCATAAGCCACTTTTCACCCTCCAAGTCTGCCTTGGTGAAATGAAAGATAAAATCAGGTTTAGACTGAAAGACAAACAGTATACGGCATCTTTTCATATGCTGTGCATTTCTTATATTTGCTGAGATCCAGTGGGTGATTTGTTCATTGTTGTTAGATGGAGAAGTGATCAGCTTCTGTGTGCTGAGATTTTTCCGTGAAAACTGACTTTATACCTCGCTGGCTAAAACTCATTTGCCAAACTGCAGCTTTTGTTTTCACTGCAGTTGAGATTCTTTTTGTTCACTTCAAGAGCCTTTGAGAAAGAAATGGCTTGTGCAGATAAAGAGCTGTTTTAACTGAAGATGTTTATAGCTTTTAAGAGTTCATAAAGGTCATCTCCCATTGTACTGTATTAGTACTGTGCCGTTGGATACCTAAAAAAATATTTTTCATTTACAACTAAAAGCTGAATAGATGTTAAGGAAAATACAATCCCATACAACTACAAATGCATTTATAAATTACATTTGCTTGCATGAATGATGTCAATCCCCTTCCAATCCAAACACATAATCCACTGGTGGTCAGACTAATGATGAACAGAAAAGCTTGTCTTAGAAACCAAAATGTTTATCCTAAAGATCTACCCTGGATGAGCATGTAGTGACTTTTAATGTATATGTACAAGTTGATTTAGGTTTTCTGTGACACATATTATTGTCAAGTTGCAGTCTGTTCTTTGTTCTTCCTCCTTGGCCACTGTTTATCATCAGTCTCCTGCAGAAGCCCATAGTGAAAATGTAAAAATGTACTGGAATTACCTTATTCACTGGGAAAGGATTCATAAACTGGTGGAAAAAGATGTGAACCTGTTGCTCTTTTGGATTAAAACACTAACAATCTTTGTTTTTATTTAAAAAAAATGCATTGGTATATTGGTACATTTTATTTATTACTATCTCTTTTGTTGTTGTTTACACACAGATCTTTACATTTGTTTGATCATCCTTTTAGAGTATTGGTGCACAGCTTCAACGAAGGCACCAACGTTCTCCGGGTCCATGTCGGGGTAAAGGCCGTGTCCCAGGTTGGCGATGTAACCCCTTGTGCCAAAACCCTCCAACATTATCTTCACCATGTCTGAAATGCGCTCCTGAAGGAAATGAGGATGAAGAGGTTGAGGATCAACTTTTGATTAGTCACTGTTCAAACACTGTATGGCTTTAATAGTCCGAGTGAGATGAAGATCACTTTTAGCACCTTAAACGTATAACCTGAAATGCTGTGTGTGTTTGTGCTGTCAAAAATATCATTTGTTCAATGCATATTGATTTGAAAAGTTTGGATATTTATTTTCCATAGTACCGTCACCTTTTTCGCTCTTTCTTCTCTCCAACTGCGAGTTTACACACACAACTGCAGTGCCCACAGCCCCGCCTCCTCTCATGCACTCACTCGCTCAGTGCTGTTTGCATCATCACTTGTCTCATTTGCTATAGTTGAATTTTAAGCTAACAGACGATCGCGAGTCCCATGCACAGCTGAGATGTTCACTGTTGCTGGTTGACATGTCAACTAACATGAAGCAGGAGGAGCTCAGTGAACAATCAGTATGTTTTGGAGTGAGTTTAAGACTTTTGTGTGCAGAACATGTTTTCTTATAGCTTTAGTAGGCATTAGAGTACTGGTCATGACAAATAGTTGTCTTTCTCATTTGGTATATGCACCTGTCATACTGTATGTTACATCACACACCTGAGTGTGTGGATGTGTGTTACCAGACAAAGGGCCTCATGCTATAACCACTTGTGGGATAAGATTTGTTCTTAGGTGGAACACACAAGTGATTTAAAAGATATTGTGGCATTCACCAATTTTCTCACTTCACAGAGTCAATGAATGGTCCAGACGTGCTGTACAAATCATGGAGAGGTAGTCCACCACTCTCCACAGGAGGAGGAAATTGCATTTAGTTAACCCATAAAAGAACATAACAGTTTTGTACAAATGAAAATTAAAAGAAAAAGGTTTTCTATTTATAACTGTTGCATTTCTGTCTGGGTACAAGCCTAAACCAAAGGTGGAGAGAGGAGGTTACCTTTGGAGCATAGAGAGCACAAGGATCCAGGTTTCCCTGCAGGCTGACCTTCCCTCCTGTGCGCTCACTGAGTATACAAACACACAGAGGACATAAAGAGTAATCCTTTAACTAACACGTTAAGTGTTTGAGTAGAGCAGGAAACAGAGTTTGTTGACTTTAAACACTGCACCCAGTGCCAAACCAGGGACAGGAGAGAGGTCAGGAATGGTTAATCTGCACCTCAGGGAACACCACCATATGGTTCATGATCAGTGCTACAGCAGGCTACATCCCCAGGATTCAGGATTCAGCTTTGACTTGGCTGCAAGCTAAGTTTCTGCAATCCTACCACGACATGATTTTGAGGCTGCAGCTCTATATACTTTTAACTGAGTCGGTTATTGTAATGATCTTCTCTAAGCTCACATTCCAGAAATGTTTCAACACTTAAAATCTTACAGACTAAATCCAGGGGAACCAGGTCTGGTTGAAATTCAAATGGATTTTACAAATAGCCAACAGACTGATGTGGCCTGTTATTCAATTCAAATTGAATTTATTTGTACAGCACCAGTTCTCAACAACAAATTTCTCAGGGCACTTTACATAAGGTCTAGACCTTACACTGTTATAAAGGAAAACCCAACAAATCCCCCTTGAGCAGCACTTGGCGACAGCAGGGAGGAAAAACTCCCTTTAACGGAAGAAACCTCTGACAGACCCCGACTCTTGGTGGGCGGCCTTCTGCCTCGACCAGTTGGGGTGAGTGGATAGAGGAGAGACAAAAGAAGAAAAGCATCTGGACACAACAGGTATTGTCCTGTTATTTTAGAACTAAAACACATTTTTACACAACCACTAGGAAGATACAGTATCAGTAGAATAGTGTAGCAGCTCTTTGTATGGTGGTGGGCGTATATTACCGTGCTGACTGTGGGTCGATTGTCCAGTCCAACCCGACCACCTCATAATGAGACTGAGACAGATCCTCTAGAGCGTAGTGAGCATCTTTTGCAAACACAATCTGCAACACACACACACGCAATTTTAAATATGTGCAGATTTTCAAAGCTACTTTTGTACAGGTCAGTATATAGCATTTCTGGTGAAATGCTTCCATCTAGTGGTAATAAGTATAAAAGTGACTCCCAAGGGACAGAGTGTGGTTGAAGCAACAGACACCAATAGAACAGAACATTACAAGTGATATGGAAGCAGTTTTTACAAGAGAATAAACAGAAGAAAAAAAACAGGTGTTGTCACTTTTTACTTGTTTGCAGTTTACAAGCTGATGTACATGTGTAAGGATGAAAGCTGAATATGCCTATATATACTGGAGGTGTGTGTTCTGGGGAGATTTGTTCACATTTATATAGTGGGACAAGTGTATGTGTACATGTTTTTTTTCTATCTCTCACCATAGGAACCTCCTTTCTTGCCTCCTTGAGCTGATCTTTGACACGGCGAGCGATGTCTCGGAGGTAAGGCAGAGAGAACTCTTTAAACTCGACAGGCCCAAGGATGCCAGCGTGGGACTCAAACACCTGCAGAGCCTGAACAACACACACAGTAGAGACTGAAGTGTTGTTGACCAAAGTTAACTCACCACTGTAATAATGAGACTGACGGATCCAGGTGAGCATTTTTCAAAAGCAGACGGGCAGGAGCATTTTCAATTTGTCACCATCGACCCTTTCTCTCTAGAGTTTATTGACAGGATTTGGAGCTGAGATACAGAGAAGCAGGTTTGTCTCCACGAGGAGAGTCTGCAGTAGCTGCTGCAACCAGCAGAGAGTATCTGTGTGCAACTCTGAAATACACTGCACAATACCATTTCTACTGAATCTCTCAGGTCTGCTTTCCAACCTTTTCAGGTGTTACTGTCAGTTACACAAGTATCAGAAAAATGTATGGCTCTCTTCTTTATTTTGATCCATACATTAACATACAATGGACATCCATGTTCTATTAATTAATTCCTAGATAATCAGCACTCTAACTTAATATTTAATAGGCCAAAGCTTATTAATATAGTCACCCCTCTAACCAGTCATTATATTTACCACCTCATAATCAGACTAAATTAACACGTTCAAGGCAATAACAACCAAACAACAAAGAAACAAAACCATGTTTCACATAATATCCCTAAGTCCTTTGATTTATTCAGTACATCATTTCTAAACATTTTCTTGAACCCAGTGAGTACCTGACATGTTTTTAATTCCATATATTTTCCCCTTTAACAGAAATGCACCTGTTTTTCAGGAGCGTTCAGAATTTTTTTTTTCTTGAGCAAAACAAAGTTTTAAGACTAAGAGAACTTTCTCTCACTTGATATCGATCTTGTAAATTCTCTGGCAATAAATTCTTGTTGGCTTTATATAATACCTGAACAATTTTGTAATTTACTATATCATCAAATGTGTAGTTTAATAAACTCTCAAGTTACAAAGAAGTGCATAGAGATAGATGGTGTGGGGTCTGACCTGTGCTCCAGCTGCCACCTGGCCCAGCAGATACTCCACTATGACATCTGTCAGCATCCTCAACAGCATGTGGCTGGCCTCAGGGTGGCGGTACAGCCACCGCTTCGCCTTAGAGTGTGTGGTGGAGCCACCGCCTTCTATCATATAGGACATCAGCGTCCACTGTAGAAGTTCACAACACAGAGGCGACAGAAAGCTTTGATGATTTTCATTTGAACTAAATCTAATCAGCCACATTCATATTCCAGCTTAATGCACCTAGAGCATGCATGCTTTTCTATTTATCTTTGAATGAGCCTGTACAATCTCTCACCGGAGCTCCAGTGAACCCTATGAGTGGTACTTTGCCCTCTATCTTGTGTCTGGTCAGTGTGATGGCTTTGAAGACGTAGCCCAGCTCCTTGCCCACATCCACTTTGACCCGGAGGCGCTGCAGGTCTTCTGGCTCCTTCAGGGGCTCTGGGAATGTGGGACCTTTACCTGCCATCATCTGGACATCCATACCCATGGCCTGGATGCAGACAGACAAAATATCTGACAGGTGGCTGACATTTCTACAAGTATCACATCACAGGAACAGGACAGATGTAATTTGAAAGCTGTGTAATAATGTGGCCACTAGGAGGGGGGAAAACCATCAGAACAAGCTAAGAGATGCACATCCAACACAGAATACTGCTAATAAAGTTGTTTTTGTTCACCTTTTGACTTTAAGGCCAATATTCAGTGTCCTTTAGTTATGCTAAATTTATGTATTGTAAAACTAAACCAATAAATTTAAAAAGGCAAAAAACCTCAAGAGACAACCCCCTCTTCGTTGCACAGAATATTAAAACTTAATATTAGTATTCAGAAATTGACTAATGCCAAGTTTCAGTTACACCACGACTAAAGAATGAGACTGGTCATGTCATCCTCACCTGTGGGACAACTAGGATGTCAGAGAAGATGATGGCAGCGTCAAAAGGAAAACGTCTCAGAGGCTGAAAGTAGAAAAGGAGAATGGCGTTAAAAAAGTTATCTTATCCTCTAGAGTCCCTGCGTCCTCATATGAGGACCGCACATTTTGGGTTTCCTGCACCATATACTTTATTTCTTCTCAACTTAGACCTGTTGTCCTCGTATGTAGACACTTTTACCACCATCTTGTGGTAGGAAAAGCACATTACATGTGTTACTATAATTCCAAGATGGC